TCTGATCCTGACTGGCTGTGTGGTCTTTGGCAAATAGTCATTAAGGAGCTGATCCTGGGATGTACTGATCATTCTCCACTTCCTCCTCAGTGCCTCATGGGTCTGGGCAATCAACTGCTTTGCATCTCAGATTCTCCACAAGTAAAATGGAGAGAATAGTCACTTACACCTTTGCAAAGTTGCGGCGAGGGTTCATGTTCATACAGTACTTTGGAAAGGTAACAGGCTCTCTAAGTGCTAAGTGTAATTAGAAAAAAGAAACCACCTGGTGTAGTAACAAAAATAGCTAAGAGAGGGGACATGATAGGGTCCTACAAATGCATGAAGCTTGCAAACACTAAGAGGAGTGGAATCGTCTTAGAGTACAACCTTGGAGTAATGAGGTGATAGTAAGAGAGAAAAAGGTTAAGCAATATTAGGAAAAAATTCTTGTCCTGAGAGCTTTTAGTCTGTGGAATAGTCTCCCAAGGAAATTGATGGACTCTCCCCTGATTTGAGATAATTAAAGCTATTCTGGAGAAAGCTGTAGATTAAACCAGCTGGACTATAAGTCTTTTTTCTATGTCTAACTGCCTTGGTTTGAGGAACATCTGAACCACTTGGCCTACAAAATGAAGGCAGAGACTTTTATTGCGAGATTTGAGGTACTTCTACGTTTAAAAGTTGCATATCCCATTACCAATCTCCTGATGGTTTTGCCTAACAAGGAGCCAGGCAAGGACAACATGGAAGTCAAAATCACCTATCAAGAGGATACTTCCTTTAAAACCAGTGTGGAAACCACAGATGTGGGAAGAGTTCAGCACTTGGGTGATAAAAAAAAAATAACAGTGATAACACTGCACTTCCTACTGGAATGCTTTTAAAATATTCAGTAGTTAAGCCTCACATCACAGTTGTTGATGTACAGTAGGTAACATACACATTTTACAGCCAAGTGATACATTGATGTGCAGAACAATTATATAACTTGCTGAAGATCACCATTAGGGCCAGTTGAAAATTTTCTGATAAAATTGTTTTCATGGAAAACAACATTTTTCACAAAAAGCATCCACCTTCTGCAGAAAGTTTCAATTTTTTTGTCAAAAAACCAAATACCTGAAAACAAAATATTTTGATTTGGAAATGGGAGTTGTAGTTTGGTTTCTTTATGTCCCCATTGTCCTCTGTAGGTCATGCTTTCCGGCTGGATTAGATCTCCCATGATGCACCACCTCTCTTCTCCAAGATGGGTGACCATAGTGGGAGAAATAGTCCAACCAGGGGGAAATGGGAGTACAAGGCACTTAAACTACAACCCCCATGAGATGCTGTGGAAGCCTTTCCAAACTGAAATATTTTATTTTGGGAGCAAAATATTTCTGTTTCTGACCAAAACATTTCAGCATTCAAATTTTATCCAAAATTTTCCATAGAAGAAAAACCCCATTTCTCAACCACCTCCAGTCACAGCGAGTCCATAGCAGAACCAAGATTATCATGAAGGAGTCCTGATGGCCAAGCCATTGCTGTAAGATCTAGATCCCACTCCCTTCCGGCATACATTTAGTAGTGTAGCTATTGCTGTTACTCATGCATGGATGACCAGAGAGCTTCAGTGTCCCAAGCCAATAGCACCTCAGGATGCACTAACAATCAGTGAAAAACTGGCTATTTATTGTATTTATTGATTCTGGATGTTTTGACCCCTCTGGGTCTATCTTACCTTTCAAGTTCTAAATCCCACTGGGCACATGTTTTCTCATTTATTTGCAGGTAAAGTGTTCGTTCACTGTGCCATGGGGATAAGCCGCTCTGCATCTTTAGTGCTCGCTTTTTTAATGATCCATGAAAACATGACGCTTGTGGAGGCTTTAAAAATGGTGAATTTTCACAGAGAGATCTGCCCAAATACAGGATTCCTGAGCCAGCTCCGAGATCTGGACATCAAATTAAATGAAGAGAGGAAAGGAGTTAGAGAATCTGCCAACAAAGAACCATAATACAGAACTGCACAGAGAGTGGATGCAACACTATCAGTATTTCCTGGATTTCTTTTAAAATGAATTATGTTTTCCAAGCCAAGGGCATAAACTGAAAATGCAGCGTAATACATATTCTATATGTAAATGCTTATTTGACTTTATTATCTATACATTGTATAAAGCCTATCTAAATTCTACCTGCAGCTCAGTTGGTTATGGTATTCTTCACTCCCTCCCCTCAACTGTTGTGAGAAATAGCTGTAAACTGTTAAGCAGCTGCCAAGCTCCACCCTAGAGGTGACTGCATTTCAGTGATGCATGACACTTATATTAGTCTGCGAAGTGTTAGGATTCTTTGGAGGTGAAAAGTGCTTTGTTATTACATTATCTGTACTGCAGTAGTGCCTACAGGCCCCAATCAGGGCCCCCATGGTGCTATATATGTTTAAGATTGTTAATATTTTGAGGTTTTAATGTTGGCATCTGTTTGTTATAGGTTATAACAATTTGTGCAGCAGTCTGAGCCTCTTGGCTGGGCCATGGAGGCTCTTTAGATATAGAACAGCTGGGAAATGTTGAAGCCACTCTCTTAAGAAACAATTCCAGTCTGTTTTCCATACTCCTCCCCCTGGGTCTTCATCAGTAGGGGATTTTCATGAAAAGATCTTAACTTGAATGGATTTTTATCTGCTCTGGCTGCTCCCCACCAAAAGTCAAGCGGCTGCTGTAGAAAATGATTATGCTGTCATGAAGGAGGCAGCTTGGTAATGGTCTCATAGCTGAGGGTCTAAAACTATTGCGTTGGCAGCAGAGGGAGTGTGCGGGGGTGTGTGTGTGTGCTCACACGCAAGGCAAAACTCAAAACCATTGAGAATCAAGGGTCTTTCATTAGGTCCGAAAAGATGATCCAACTTTGCAACTTTTAATTTTTATTTACTTACAGTTTTCCCTCTCAAAATCAAGACGACTTTCACAGAAAGAATCGTGTTTTGTAGTCTTTGCCCATCTGCAATGAGAAAACACGAAGAGAAGCCACTGGGGCACTGGATTGTTAAGGGGGGTGCTAATAGGTGCAGCACCTTTTACCTCAAAGTCCCTGGAGCAAGTCTGGGCCAGTGCAGCCGTGACCCACAGTCAGTGTCATCTGATGCCTCTATGGTAGCTTGTAATTATGTGAAATGAATCTTGCCATCCCAGTCCCATCCCCAGTAGACAGGCGTCCACATCACAAAGCCAGCTCCAGAACTGCCCCGGATGTGCCCATCCTTACGGCCAGTTTCAGGAATGAATCGGCATGGATACCAGACTACCCTGAGCTCCTTGCTGAGGAACAGAGCTGAGGCAGATGAGTAGGGCGGCATGGAAAAGCATGCATTGCCCCTCCCTATGCTGTCCATAAGACAGATTTCAGCCTCCCGGGCAGTCAAGTGCAGAACTATCCACAATTATAGGATTTTCCCTGATTACCAGCAGATCCCATCTGCCTTAGCCTACCGAATGAATATGGAACTTTTAAGTAGACCAGACATCTTTGAGTACTCAAGCGTGATCCTGGTACCATTAAAGTCTACAGCAGGGGTTGGCAACCTATGGCACGCGAGCTGATTTTCAGTGGCACTCACACTGCCCGGGGTCCTGGCCACCGGTCCGGGGGGGCTCTGCATTTTAATTTAATTTTAAATGAAGCTTCTTAAACATTTTAAAAACCTTATTTACTTTACATACAACTATAGTTGAGTAATATATTATAGACTTATAGAAAGAGACCTTCTAAAAATGTTAAAATGTATTACTGGCACGCGAAACCTTAAATTAGAATGAATAAATGAAGACTCGGCACACCACTGCTGAAGGTTGCCGACCCCTGGTGTATAGCAAAGCTCTCATTGACTTCAGTGGAGGGAGGACTGAGCTCTTCAGCCAATGTTTTCCTCCCAAGGGAACTATGGACTATAACGTGTCATTGATACTACAGCTGTGATGGTTTACTATAGGGCTGTTCATTCGTTTCCACAAAAGAAACTCTAGTGCATTTTCTCAGCATTGTTGATTTGTTGGGAAAAAAAATCACTCGAATGGTGTTTACACTGTCTCTCCAATAGCAAATTCCAACCCAAGGATTTGCAGACGGTTCCTGTAATAAGTATACTCTGTGGGAACAGGATGAGAGAACTAGCTAGGAGCTATGATCCCCTCTCACCAGTAGATGGCAGTATAAACCTGAGGCTGAGCTGCATTGCTCAGCAAACTAAACCCTGGGTAATATGTACAGGCACATTTAAAATCCTACATACAATCCACAAGTTTTCCCATCACTCTTTCAAGAAAGCGAATCACCACACCATGCTGAATGTGTTCCATTAGAGCCAGAATTACCACATCTCAGATCATTAGGAAAGCTGTCTGTCGCCACCTTGAAATTCTTAATATAAACTCCTTTGCACAGTAATAAGCTGTAAACACACACACAGTTATATACATATATATAGCAAGAAATGATACAACCAGATTTGGAAAAATTTGTTGCACAAACACGGAGAAAAATAATAAATTAATAACTTGTATTCCCTATGCGAGATGTGTTTTACTCCATGTTGAGGTAGAGGTCCTGTCCCAGGATTAATGAACAGCTAGTAGGAACAGATTGGCCCAGTCTGCACCTCTGGCTATTAATTCCATCTGGTCTTTAATCCTCAGGAAATTCCCTGCAATGAATGCTTTATTGCTATTTTTATTTAGGATTCTTTGAAAAAAATCCTAGGTGGATGGGATATTTTATGGCACTTTCAATTGATAGGTTTACTCAACAGCACAAGGAGATTCCTGGGTGGTGTAAATCAGTGTAGCTCCATTAACGTTAGCAGAGCTACACCGATTTGCACCAGCTGAGAATCTGATCCCATTGAGATCTCAGTTTCCGTCTGTTTTTGTCTCAGCTGCCCTTTACTGGATGATGCTTTAGATCCAAAGGTGGAAGGAGATCATGGTTTATAATTAACTCATTAAAAATAGAAGTTGAATACACTTGAAAGTAGCAGGCAGTAGGGAAATCTGCTGTGTACTGACATCTTAGGAAGAAGCTAAACGGCATCATTGAAACAAAATTAATCCAAAACAGCACAGTGAAGGAGCTGCAACTTCCAGGCAAGTACTTTTAAGCTTGTTTACAAACCAATAACACTGAATTTAATACATGCACTGGGCAGCACAAAATTAATCATAGGAAACTATGTGAGTGGTGGAACAACTGCAGCTCCATGCCATGTTCTGATTTGCATTGTTGTTCCCAAAAACTGAAACATTTGTGAAGCTTTAGATTGCTTTCTCCAGTTGGATTACCAAGAGAAGCAACTTGCATTGAAAAGGACGATTAAAACAAAAAGAAAAGGAATACTTGTGGCACCTTAGAGATTATCCAATTTATCTGAGCATAAGCTTTCGTGAGCTACAGCTCACTTCATCAGATGGTGCATCCGATGAAGTGAGCTGTAGCTCACAAAAGCTTATGCTCAAATAAATTGGTTAGTCTCTAAGGTGCCACAAGTACTCCTTTTCTTTTTGCGAATACAGACGAACACGGCTGCTACTCTGAAACCTGATTAAAACAATGTTGCTTTTAATTCCAGTCCAGACAGGGCATTCCTAATTTAAATAGTAAATCCTATAATAACGTACTTCACAACATTTTGTAAGGTTTTCCTGATCCACTGTTCATGTTTATAAGAGTCTTTTCAATGATTGACTAATATACAGAGAAAACGTGAAACTGATTCTACACAAAATGCTGTCAAATGCACGAAGCAAACTGAAAAAATAGAGAAAGATTTTTTTTTTGGTAACTCCTTTCAATTACAATGATCTTAGTGATTACTTAAAACCAAAGCAGAATGTGAGAAATGTGATTTTTGCAGTGACAGAATTCCTTGTAAATTGCAGTTATTGAGGCAATGCCTACTATAGGGCTGGGAAGGCAGTGAGTAGGAACGTGCAATCGATCAATCTCTGAGAGCAAAGAGCACAGACCTAGGAAACTCGTTTAAATTAATTCCTGCTAAATATGGACCATCAGACATTACTGTCTGCATGGGAAATTATACACAGAGCTGTCCCAGGGCTAAGGGGACACTGTTTATCTAACCCTCGCTATGTAAGAATTTAAAGGAAAACTCCAACTCATCACACAGGGCTTATCATCTGCTTCTGTCAAGATAAAATCATGGGGGAGATCATCCCCCTTGCTCCGGATCTATGCAGGACAGGCTCCTTTATATAGAGATCTACCCCCTTCATGTAGAAGGGAACTCCATCACGTCTGTGGTATTGGCCACCCTGCACCACTCAGGCCTTCCAGAGCTCTCTTCATGAAATCCATATGGTAGGAGGAGGAGACTAAACCAAGGGCAGAGCCAGGGAGATGCAAATCATTCCCCTTCTAGTTCCAAGGAATTTATTCTTAGAACCTGAAGCTGTTTTACCTTTATGTTACTCCTCCACTCCCTTTACCTTCACCAGGTTTCTCAGGGCACCCACAGATGAGGGCGTGCCTGGTAGCACAGTCCAATGTAGCCAGACTGCCAGGGGCCACAGCAGGGAAAGAGGAACTGGGTCTTGTTGCAGATAGCTTTAGCCTCAGTCCTCACCTTCTGCTGCTGTGGCTTTTTCCATGGGGGCCACACCCCCCCAACCTGACCAGCCATCATGGGGCAATCACAGAGAGGGAAATGGATCCCACAGATTAGTAGAGCATGTTTGTGTCTGTTTTTAATAATCTATGAGGTTATTAAAGTAACAAGGGCAGTCTTTAAAATGAGTGTGTAAAAAACATGATTGTCCCTTTAAAAATAGAGCTGTCTGCTGAGGCTCCAATGCTACACTCCTCCCCTCCTCTCTTAGCTTCATGCTCTCTCTGATCTTTCTTCCACATCTTCCACCTTAAGGTTTCTCTTTAGTGTGGCTGCTATCCTCTCTTTCAGGAACAATATCCACTCGACTTACTCAGTGCCCCTGTTTTGTGATTCCATTCTCCTGCTGTCTGCTAGGCAGGGAGCAGAAGTTGCAGGACCTGGAGCTGCCTTTGAGGTGCAGGTAATTATTATGTGCATCTGTTGTATTGTGATCTCTGCCTCAACAGGTGGAAAACATGCTGTTGCTCTGATAGATTTGCAGTGCTCTGCATTCTTGGCTTCTCCTTACTGTGAAGCTAGTCATATGCTGTTTCTATAATAAACACAGCCTTACTACTGCCACAACACCCCCCCCCCCCCCACACACACCCAGTAAATATCTTTTATCGGAATGAAATCTTATTAAGGATTTGAAGAGTTATTCATCGAAAGCAAAATATGAGCAGTAAGGTTGGGGAAAGAATGAAAGACTAGTTTGCTTCCTTTCCCTGGGGCCTATAAAGGCAGCAGTGCCTGTACTTTAGAGTTGGATATTGGGGAATTACTTAACCCAAAATGATGGAAACAATTCAGACTATTACAGTATAGCATGAAAGTTTCTCACATTACATCTGTTTCTCATTCTACAGGCTATATTCTGCCCTCACATACACATGCACAACTCTCATCAACTTCAGGGCAAATTGTATCTGAGACCAAGACATGTCATGCTGTCTTCCTAAAGCATCTCTATGGTTTAGTTGATGAGCACTCTCACCTGTGGGCAAAAGGACTGTGTACACAGCTTGTCTGATTCCCAGTGGTTTAGTTCTGAGGGGTCCATACAAACATTTTGTTTTCTGGTGTCAGTTTGAGAGAGATCCCCATTTGCTGAGTTTCGCTTTGAGTTTTATCTTCCAAGTAGCCCCAAGCTATAGGCCAATTTATCTACTATATAAACTTATAAACTTCTTGAACGTATCATCCTCAAAAGAATATGCCCTTTTACTGAGCCAATTATCCCTGTCGAACAGGCAGGCTTCCAGCCAAAACGTAGTAGTTGTGATCAAGTTCTGGCACTCACAACTCACATTGAGGCTGGCTATTAAAAAAACCTAAAGACTGGCGTAGTATTTGTTGACCTGTCATCTGCATAGGATACTGAATGGATTAAGGGCCTGATGCTGAAACTTGCTAAAATTATACCTTGCTACCAAACACTTCACCTTCTGTGGACCATGCTGAGTAACAGATGCCTATGGGTATACCTGGGTAATAAGACCAGCTCACCCCATATCATAAACAACGGGCTACCATGAGGCTCTGTACTTGCGCCAACCCTTTTTAATATTTACATAAATGACATGCCTCCAACTAAATCACGATAATGTGGATATGCAGATGATCTTGCCATGACAATCCAAGCATTAAAAACCTACATGACATCGAGAAAGCATTAATTGAGGACCTCCAAAATATGGAACAATATTTCCGGAAATGGAAGCTCAAAACAAATCCTGGAAAAACAATAGTAAGCACATTTCATCTTGATAACAGGAGTGCCAAAAACACACGGAAAGTAGCTTTCTGTGGTAAAAATGTGCAACACGATTACACTCCAACATAGCATGGAGTGAAACTCGACCACACCCTCTCCTTCCATGATCATCTTGAGAAGGTAGCTGCAAAGATAAAAACAAGAGCCAACATAATCCAGAAACTAGCAGGTACAACCCTGGGGTGCACCAGCATCAGTGCTGCGAACATCCGCAATAGCACTTGTATATTCAGTAGCTGAACATTGTGTGTATGGAGTAGATGCAGCCACACACCATTTGTGTGAATACAGTGATCTGGTGCATCCTGGGGACCCTTAAGTCGACTCCAACACGTGCCAAACTGCTGCAACATTCCGCGAAGCTCAGCAAATCCAGGAAAACAGATCTTCCTATTCATCAAGACCTTGACAATGCCTCCCTGCAACATCTTAAGTCCCTCAAGCCTTTCTGGGAACATTCATTTAGCTTCACGCAATCAGGCTATGATCAGGAGGAGGCTTGGAAAGCAGACTGGGCTAAACAAGACTTAAAAAATAAGCACCTTGTGCCAGTTCCCATCCAGAAGGTACCTGGTTTGACCTTCCACAGTATTCTTGGTCAACTCTGAACCAAATTCGAACCAACGATGGTAGATTTGGATATCTAATGCATAAATGGAAAATCAAGGACTCCCCGTTGTCCGAGTGTGGTTCCCCATGACAGACCATCGAACATATCACTACCTACTGCCCAATTTATAAATATGAAGGAGGCATTACTGCAAAAAACTCTGCTACTGCTCACGTAGCCATTTGCCTCGATCGACTTCAGGTGAAATTGTAGTTGCTGCTCTACACCAGCCCTATGCAAGAAAAAAAGTAGCACCAGAACAAACTCAGAACAAAACATAGCCAAAACTGCCCATTTTCATCTCGTTTGGGGGTCATAAGCCACTGAGTTTCCCATGGGTTGGTCTCGAGCTAGTCCAGAATTTTCAGGCACAACATTTTTTCATCAGAAAACATTGATTTGTCCCACAAACAGTCTTCATTTAGAAAGAATCAGTTTCAATGAATCTCCTGATTTGAAAAAAAAAAATTGAAAAGAAAAGTTTGAAACTGTTAGAATATCCTGTGTTGACATTTTTTAAAAGAAAATTTTCATTTGCTGGTCTAAAAATGGCTTTTTGAGTAGAAATTTTAATTATTTGTAGTAAAAAAAAAGTTAAAATAAAAAAGGCTCCATGAAAATGCAGTTTTTACAGGTTATTGAAATGAAAGGTTAGGGTTAGGCCCAATTACATTTTTGGATTATCCATTCACAAAAATTTTCAAGATTTCGATTTCTTCTGATTTGGTCCTGGAAAGTTTTTTGATATCTCGAAAACTCTTGTGGGTCAGGAAAGTTGTTTCCCATCCAGCAAGAGTTTGTTCCAGATATCATAAAATTGACCCAAGCTTGTCTAAAAATGCTCTGATTTTTTCTCTTTCTTTCTTTCTTCTTCTTTTTTTTTTTTTTTTTTTGGCAAATCAGGTCCAAGATTCAGACTGTTGAGGAAATCGTAATAAATATTCCATTTTCTGTCTCCTGGAGATTTCATGTGGCTTTGGGATTCATTATGAAAGATTCACACCGCTCTAATCCTGGCTGTAGATTCTCTGCAAGACTTCCATTTATCCCCAATGCTCACACTACAGAGTACTAGCCGGGGGCCAAAGGCAAT